CTTGGACTGCAAGGCCATCCAACCAGTCAGTCCTAGAGGAGATCAACCCTGACTGCTCTTTAGGAGGCCAGATCCTGAAGAGGAAACTCAATGGTCACCTAAGGAGAAGGAGGAAGGACTCCCTGGAGAAGACCCTCGTACTGGGAACGATAGAGGGCAAAGCATCTCTGAGGGGCACCACAGAAGGGGCACCTTTGGAAGACGAGAGCACAAGCTCACCAGAAGACCTCAGCCTTCAGCGTCCCCTGCCTGTCCCACCCCCCCAGCTGTGACCCAAGGGGGAAGAAAGAGGGAAAGGAGGGGATACCTGGGCCGCCGATTCTGCCCGGCTGTGTGCAGGACTCTCCCATCTGGCAGGACCACCTGTAAGTTGATGACATTCTGGCGCATGGTGCCATAGCGCACCGCATTCGTCCCGGAGGCTGCAGTGGCCACCATGCCACAGAGCGAGGCGTCGGCCCCGGGGTCTGAGGAGGAAGGGAACAGCAAAGTGAGAAAGAACCTAAGCCCCTCACCCACCGACCATCAACTGCAGGAGCCTTACGCCAATTATTGGGTCAAGATCAAGGGAGGTATCAACACCACTCTATAAAGCCTTAGTAAAACTACACCTAGAGTACTGCATCCAGTTTTTGGTCACCACACTATAAAGAAGATGTTGATACTCTAGAAAGAGAGAAGAGAAGAGCAACTAAGGTGATAAGGGGACTGGATGCTCAAACATATGAAGAACGGTTGCAGGAACTGGGCCTGGCTAGTCTAGGGAAGAGAAGGACCCGGGGAGACAGGAGAGCATCTTCCAATACTTGAGGGGCTACCACAGAGAGGAGGGGTCAAGCTATTCTCCAAAGCACCCAAAGGCCAGACAAGGAATAATGGATGGAAACTGACCAAGGAGAGATTTAAGAATCAACCAATGAAACAGAAGTTGCCTAAAGAAGTTGTGGGAGCTTCATCCCTGGAAACTTTCAAGAAGAGACTGGACTGCCATCTGTCAGAAATGGTGTAGGGTCTCCTGCTTGGGTGGGGGGTTGGACTAGATGACCTCCACGGTCCCTTCCAACTCTGTTATTTTATATTAAATGAAACAGGAGTTCCTTTCAGAGGTTTTGGGAGCTTCATCATTGGAAACTTTCAAGAAGAGACTGGACAGCCATTTGTCAGAAATGGTGTCGGGCCTCCTGCTTGGGCAGGGGGTTGGACTAGATGACCTCCAAGGTCCCTTCCAACTCTTATGAATCTAAAATCTAGACCCTTCCCCCAGGGGCCCTGCCTGAGCCTCAGCTGGAGCACCTCGACAGGAACACTGACACAACCCCTCCCAACCTTGCTGGGGGAAGCCCCCCCCCAAACCTTGACCCACTGACGCCTCCCCTCCACCTGTCTCCAAGTTGCCGTACCGACAGGGAACCACAGGCCATTCCCACGCAAGTATTTGTTCAGTGCCTTCCGCGTCACTCCTGCCTCGACAGCGACCGTGAAATCTTCAGGGTTAAGCTCAGAAATTTGGTCCATTTTCGTCAGGTTGACACACACACCTCCCTGGTGGGGGTGGGGGTGGGGGGAAGCACAGGCAGAGTTCACACAACTCCAAGACCCAAATTACAAAGATACAGCAACAGCAATAACACTTAGACTTGTAAACTAGCCCTATAGCACTTCACAGCACTGTATATGGGAATAATATCAGCCTTGTTTGCATATTTCCTCCCACAACCTGGGTTCTCATTTTACTGCCCTCAGAAGGGTGGAAATTGGAGTCAACCTTGAGCAGGTCAGGATCAAACTGCTGGCAGTCGGCAGAAGTAGCCTGCAATGCTCCCTTCTAGGCATCGCACCACCAGGGTTCCTATCACTTCCATACAGGTAAAGTTTCTTAAAATGAAACCTCCTGCCTGAGCTGGGGGTTTGGACTAGAAGACCTCTAAGGTCCCTTCCATAGACTCCGTTATTCTCTTAACACTCCTACAGATTCCTATTCTAGGCTGCAGCCATTAAATCTCCTGGTCGTGTGGACAGACTGGGCAGCCACTTATCTGAAATGGTCTATGATAGCGAAACTTATGGCACGCGTGCCAGAGGTGGCATGCAGAGCCCTGTCTGTGGACATGTGTGCCATTCTCAGCTGCTCTTCTAGTTTCCAATGCGCCGGCCAGATGGTCTTTGCAGGTTCTAGAGTGCCAGAAAATGGCCTGAAAATGACCCAGAAAACGACCTGAAAATGCCCCCAAAATGCCCCCAAAGCAGGCCATTTTGGGCCATTATTCGGGCCAAAAACAGCCTCCCAAACAGCCAAGTCTTTGGGTCTCCAGCACTCCGGCACACAACTTCCAGTTTGGGCACGGTGCCAAAAAGGTTCACCATCCCTGGTCTAAATTCTCCTCTTGAACAGGGGGTTGGACTAGAAGACCTCCAAGGGCCCTTCCAGCTCCGTTTTGAATTAAAATTGCGTTGCTCCCAGCTGACCAACCAAAGCTCAGAAGGTCCCACCAAGCAACACTGGGGAAAAAAATCCACCCTGATTTAAATGTAGACCAAGCAGATTTAGCAGACCCAGGCCCAGCGGTCCAGCGGAATTAGAGCGCCCTCCAGTTAAGACTCCGGCCAGATCCCACGCAGGATTAAGCCTCTGCAGCCGTGGCGGGTTCCAGATCCCATTCCAACCGGTACAGTTGGAACAGGCCCGGCATCGTCCACATGGGGGCGTGCATGCGTCTTACCGCTTCCGTGAGCCTCCGTGACGCTGCAGCTGCTCAGCGGAGCATCGCGCAGGTGCTGTGTGCGTGGAAGCACTGAAGACTTAAAAGACCGGTAAGGAGCTCGGGCAGGCGGGTAGGCCTTGTGGAGCACCGTACCAGAACAGTATCCGGTGCTCCGGGCAGGCTCCGGTACGCTCGTACTGGGGCGTACCTCCTGCAACCCACCACTGCTCTGCAGGGACCAGGCCAGCCTCTGCTCTACCTGGCCGCAGATCCTCCGGTTCTTACCTGCACGGCAGTGACGCCACCTTCCAGCCCTGTGCCCGTCCCGAAGGGGATGACCGGAACCCCTCGGTCGTAGCATGTCGCTGCCAGCAAGCTGACTTGCTCCACACTCTGGGGCCAGACGACAGCATCCGGGGGGCAGTTCCTAGGAGGGAGGGACATTGCAAGCTTCCATTATGGGGAGTCCTTGACTTATGACCACAGCTGAGGCCAATATTTCTATTGTCAAGTGAGACATTTGTGAAGTGAGTTTTACGCCATTTTACAACTTCTCTTGCTTCTCTTGTTAAGTGAATCACTTTCAGTTGTTAAGTTAGTAACACGGTTGTTAAGTGAATCTGGCTTTCCCGTGGACTTTGCTTGTCAGAAGGTTGCAAAAGGGGAGCCTGTGACACACACACACCCCAGGACACAGCAGCCGTCATAAATATGAGTCAGTGGCCAAGCGTCTGAATTTTGATCACCTGACTATGGAAATGCTGCAACAGTTGTAAGTGTGAAAAGCCATCCTAAGTCACTTTTTTCAGTGCCGTCGTAACTTGGAACCGTCACTAAATGAACTGTTGTAAGTCAAAGACTACAATCATTTCACTATGGAAGGTAGGAAGGCTGAGTCAACCTTGTGCCTGGTGAGATTCGAACTGCCAAATTGCAGGCAGTTGGCATGCAGCAGAAGTAGCCTGCCGTACTGCACTCTAACCACTGTGCCACCATAGCACAAATATAGCCCCAAATTATTTCAAAAGTCTGGGGTTCCCCATTTTCTCAACATCCGCGGAGGACCAAGCAGGAGACAACAGATCTATGACTATGATCTATGACTTACTAGTTCGTTGTGTGCGTGCACTGAGAGCTCACACACTGCAGACAAATTGTGTGTCCAAACACATTTGGCCAGTGAAGAATATTCCTATTCCAGATGAGGAGAAAGAGAGCAGAAGCTCGCAAGGAACATCGTGAGCATCTCAGAGGTCTGAAAATGTTCTGGCAGCAGGGGCATTTCCTGGCCTCCCGATGGAGAAGACATACCTGTGCATAGACTCGTCCTGCCCATGTTGCTCACGGACAACGGTGGCTGTGGACACATTGGGCCCCCCCACAATCGCTCTGAGGGAATTGAGGAAATCCTCCGTCAGCCACTCCTGGGGAAGGAAAAGAGGCCACGTGGAGATCATGACACAAGATGGAAGGCAGAATTTTTCTGTGGCTGTCACAAATGAAGCAGTGGCAAGTCGACATTATATTATGCCCCGTGGGCACCTCCTTCCCAGCCATGGGTTCAGCTGACCCACAAAGCCTTCATCCTTTCCTTTCTTTCTATTTTGCACCAATTTTATCTGAGGCACTAAAACAGACCCCAACCAATGGGAATTAAAAATTCCTAACAGGGAGGACAATTAACCAGCTTGCCTTCAAAATTGTGGGGAATCACGGGAGGATTTTAAGAAGATACTGGACAGCCACTTATCTGAAATAGTACAGGTTCTCCTGCTTGACCAGGGGGCTGGACTAGACCACTTCCAAAGTCCCTCCCAGCTCTATTCTCTGCTCCATTCCACTCCATTATTCTATTCTTCTCTATTCTATTCTTCTCTATTCTATTCTACTTTACTCTGCATTCTATTCTCTATTCTATTCTACTCTATTCTATTATTTTCTATTCTATTCTAAATTCTATTCTATTTTATTCTATTCTACTCTACTCTGCATTCTATTCTCTATTCTATTCCATTCTTCTCTATTCTATTCTTCTCTATTCTATTCTACTTTACTCTACTCTGCATTCTATTCTCTATTCTATTCTTTTCTATTCTATTATTCCCTATTCTATTCTAAATTCTATTCTATTCTATTCTACTCTACTCTGTATTCTATTCTCTATTCTATTCTTCTCTATTCTATTCTTCTCTATTCTATTCTACTTTACTCTACTCTGCATTCTATTATCTATTCTATTCTATTCTTCTCTATTCTATTCTTCTCTATTCTATTCTAAATTCTATTCTATTCTACTCTGCATTCTATTCTAGTCCATTCTTCTCTATTCTATTCTATTCTGTTCTATTCTATTCTTCTCTATTCTATTCTACTTTACTCTACTCTGCATTCTATTCTCTATTCTATTCTACTTTACTCTACTCTGCATTCTATTCTCTATTCTATTCTTTTCTATTCTATTCTAAATTCTATTCTATTTTATTCTATTCTACTCTACTCTGCATTCTATTCTCTATTCTATTCTATTCTTCTCTATTCTAAATTCCATTCTATTCTATTCTATTTACTCTACTATTTCTATTCTATTCTACTCTATTCTACTCTACTCTGCATTCTATTTTATTCTCTATTCTATTCTATTATTCTCTATTCTATTCTGAATTCTATTCTATTCTTACTCTACTCTACTATTATTTCTATTGTATTCTATTCTTACTCCACTCTATTCTGCATTATTCTTCCTATTCCATCCCATCCCATTCTAATTACATTCTATCCTATCTCTAATTCCTATTCTATTCCAAAAGCCTCTGTCCAGTGGATCTCCCCTTACAATGTTCTTGGGAACCAGATGACTTTTCCGTTTCCAGGCCCTCTCTAGCGGATTCCCATTCTAATATTAACCAGGCCTGGCCCTGCGTAGCTTTAGAGGTCAGGCCACAGAAATAGATTCAGTCCAAAATAAAACCCAGCAGCAACGCCTCTGGTGAGGATCTCTAAGGAAGGGGGGGGGGGAGACAGGAGATCTAGTAGATCTCTCCTTCTGATCGGCATCAGACACCCAGTTTGCCGGGCTCAGACGGTTACAGGCTGGATCTCTTGTAGACCTACTCTTGTCTGCACTGCAGCTGTAGGCTAGATCTATTGCGAAGATCTATTGTGACACCCAAATCTGGCTGGAAAAGGAGAGAGGTGGCTTGTTGTCCCCCACAGATCCTGCCCTGCCTCATCTGAATCAATGGAGAATGTCCACTGAAGACCCCCACATACCAAAACTGGATTTCCCTTCCTAGGAAAAACGCCAGTCTGGAGGAACAGAGTGTGCCCCTGTACAGAGGGCTGTCCCCTTCATCTTGCTAGCAACTTTGAGAAAGCAAAAATCGGGGCTCTCTCTATGTGGGGGCTCCCCTTCTCTTCTGAAAGCCCAACTCTTTTGAGAGCTAATCAAAGCCTGAGTGTTCAGGAAGCACTTTAACACCAGAGTTATTAAAAATACAATTGTTAATATATGTAGTCCTGGACTTATAGCCCCTCATTTACTGATCCTTCAAAGCACTGAAAAAAGTGATTTATGACCGATCCTCTGACTTACAACCATCTCCACAGTAACATGATCAAAATTCGGGCGCTTGGCAACTGGCATGAATTTAGGATGGTTGCAGCATCCCAGGTCTGGCAAGCAAAGTTAATGGGGGAAGCTGAAACCGCTTAACAACTATGTGATTCACTTAACAACAGCAGTTGTTCCAGTGATTTGCTTAACAACCACGGCAAAAAAAAAAAAAGGTTGAAAATCAGGCATGGTTTGCTTAGCAATTACCTTGCTTACCAACCGAAATTCTGCTCACAACTGTGATTGTAAGTAGCAGACTACCTATAATTGAACGTAGTTGTGATTTATCGCATTGTGTACGTATCTACTTATTTCTGCACTGGCTTGTTGTCAACTTCCCCAAGTAACTTACACCTGAAGTGGGTTAAAAAAATCTTATAAACAAGATAAGAAAGTGGCTGGAAGAGATAACTGAACAGAGGATAGAGTTGAAGCCGGAATTGTTTCTCCCGGGAATCTTTGATGGGAAAATGGGGGAAAAACTACAATACATAACACTACACACATTAACTGCAAGTAGAATCGTCTTAACACAGAACTGGAAACAAGCAGATACCCCACCAGACCCGATTATTTATAAGAGGAAATCTATGAATGTGCAGAAATGGATAGACTGTCTGTTGTGGCCCAGCAGGAGCTGTTGGAGCTGCCAACAGACTCCGATAGCGAGGAACTCTAGGAGTTGGCTCTGGAAGATGTGGAGGACCCTGGACAGGGTTCAGACTCCGAGCAGGGACCAGAGAGGCTGGTTGGCCACCAGAGAGGCGCCTGAGGCATGAAGCAGTGGTGAAAGCCAAAGGGAGTGTGTTCCTGACGTCAGGCACTGGAGCAGTGGTGAAGACGTCAGGCCCTTGAGCAGTGAGGAGGTACAGAGGGAATTGGTCCTGGATACCCGGCAGAGACGGGCGGATAAGCGCCGGCAGCATTTACGGAGACAAAGGAGATAATTGGACCCAGGTGGTTGTGATTAGGCTCCTCCCAAGAGAGTATATAAGAAGAGACTTTGGGAGGAGGCTNCCAGGTGGTTGTGATTAGGCTCCTCCCAAGAGAGTATATAAGAAGAGACTTTGGGAGGAGGCTTTTTGCAGGACTCAACTATTATACTGAAGCTGGAGAAGCTCTTGTGTGTATTTCTTATCTGTGGAAGTCTGGGTTGCTGCCAAAGTCTTGTCCGTGTGTTAATTTACTGTCAATAAATTGTATAGCAGTAATCTTGTGTCGGTGTGACTCACCGTATGGAGGGGGTGGTGGTTTCAGAACAACTGTCTATGGAAATGAAGGAGAGGGAAGAAACCGAGTATTATCAAATTTGGAATAGATGGTACTCTTGGCTTGAGAGTAAATGTAAAACCTAAGATATAAAACCTGTGGGGGTGAACCTATGGCACATGTGCCAGAGGTGTGGGCATGCGCACCATTACCAGCTGCTCTTCTGGTTTCCAGCATGCTGGTCTTCGCGGGCGCTGGAGCATTGGAAAATGGCCTGAAAATGGCCTGAAAAACAGCCAAAAACCCAGGTTGTTTTCTGGGCCATTTTTCAGGCCATTTTGGGGCTATTTTCCAGGCTAAAAACAGCCCAAAAATGGCACAGAAAACGTCCTGTAAAGGGTCCTTAAAACAGCCCCAAAACAAGCCATTTGGGGGCCATTTTCTGGGCTGTTTTCAGGCCGGTTTTTTGGGCCAAAATCGTCCTGAGAACAGTCAAAAACCAGGCATGGTCTTCGGGGCTTCGTGCACGCACGCACAAATATGCACACACATTTTGATTTGGCCACTCAATGCCGAAAAGGTTTGCCATCACTGGTATAAACGGTAAAAGTATAATATATAGAGTGCATTTAAATAAAGATATAACTTAGGATAGTGATATAGAGATAGAATTTCTTGTAAATTCTATGGTTGGTTACAAAAGATATTGATACCGATATGGAAAGGCTGTTATAAGTGTAAATTTGTGTTTTGTGTTTTAAATGTTGGAAAATTCAATAAATACTATTTGAAAATCAATCAATCAATCTTATAAACAACTAAATAGGCACTGGGCAGAAATCCATCTGGTGAAGCTTTAGGGCCATGTTTTTCAAACTTGCCTACTTTAAAATAAGCCAGACTTCCAACACCCTGTGGGGTGGGGCATTCTGGGAGTTGAAGTCCACCCCTCTTAAAGTAGCCAAGGCTGAAAAAAATCAGGCTTTAGGAACCCCTGTTGGGAGGGGTGGTTATTATCATCTTGGCGACTTTGTGCAATTGTGAAAAGTAATCACAAATCGCACCACCACACTTTGCACAACAGCCCAAGTCAAAATTTATAACCCCATTAATCTCATCAGGTGGGAACGAGAAGCCAGCCAAAGCAATGCCTTTCTCTGAACACCTTTCTCTATTCTAGGAATGAGCTACTTTACAACTGGTGGACTTTTATCTAGAATTAGAATAACAGAGTTGGAAGGGACCTTCAAGGTCTTCTAGTCCAACCCCGTTAAGCAGGAAACCCTACACCAGGAGTGTCAAAACTTGGGAACTTTAAGACTTGTGGACTTCAACTCCCAGAATTCCACAGCCAGCCATGCTGGCTGGGGAATTCTGGGAGTTGAAGTCCACCAATCCATGCTGGGGAAGTCCATGCTGGCTGAGGAATTTTGGGAGTTGAAGCCCACAAGTCATAAAAGGGGCTACAGTTCTCCAACCTCTGCTCTAACCCAAAGTTAACTTCAACTTCCCTTACGAGACAAACGGGCGTTCCAGCGACTGGGAGCCCAAATGCACCTGGTGCAACCAGAAGTAGCAGAAAAATCCGGAAGGGGTGTGTGTGGATCAAATACGTTTTGTCCAAGAAAAGAGGCAAGCAACTGGCGTAGGTAGGTAGGCAGGCAGGCAAAAAGCAAAAAGCTCTCATGCAGTACAACAGATTTACAAATTAGCATTCCAGCCAATGGGAGCCCAAACGCAACTGGACTTTCTTTGCAACCAGGAGGAGCAGAAAAATCCGAGGAAAAAAAATCAAGCACCTGGCTCAGGTAAGTAGGTAGGCAGGTAAGCAAGCGAGCAGAAAGCTAGCAGATCAGCAGCTGACCCCTGCAAGCTTTCTCCGTGCAAGGCGGAGGCTCTCCCGTGCAAGGGGTACAGCCATCCCCCCCCCAACCCTCGACCCGGGAGCTCTGGAAGCCCCCCTCCCCGAGAGGCACCGTGCCCGGCCATCCGTACCCGCCGCCCGCGTACCTTGGCGGGCGCCGCAGAGAAGCGCCTGGCCGCGCAGCCCAGAGCGCGCCCCAGAACCATGGCTGTCCGCGGGGCGGGCCGAGGGGAAGGGGCGGCAGGGAGGCGGTGCAGCCCGGCTGCGGCTTAAGGAGGACCGGGAGCCCGGAGGGGGAACCTCTGCGCGAGCCCCACGCGTTCCCTGGCCTGACTTCCTCGTGCAAAAAAAAAAAAAAAAAGATGTTTGCAACGTGCAACCCTTGCATTGCATTGCTCAAAAGCAGCCTGGACTTTGCAAACGCTTGCAAATCTCATAAACAATAAACAGATAACTGCCTAAAAGTCCTTAGAGATTCTCCACCATCCAGGTCCTGGTTGTCCCAAAGGTGTTGTTTCTGGAGGCAACTGGATTTTCTGNAACTGCTTAGAAAGTTACGAACCGGTTCTCCCAAATAGGTGCGAACTGGCTGAATCCCACCACTGCAACAGTTACACAAAAGGCAAAGTCTCTTCCCATGAGTTACATGGACACCTCTCTGCATTGTCTTGATGGTTTGTTTATTATTTATTTAATAATAAATAAACCAGCTGGCTGGTGCACATGCGCACGCCTAAAACCTTTCTGTCACTGCCGCATGTGCGAAGGCCAAGTGATTGTCGCATGTGCGCCAGAAACCTGGAAGAGGAATGGGGGACACCGCGCATGCCAGGCGGCCTGGCTCCGCGTGCCACTTTAAGCATGCGTGCCATAGGTTTGCCATCATGGTTCTAGGTTAGCCCTCCCAGTCTAATCAACGACCTAATTTCTTTCCACGTATAGTGATAATGCTATTTCTTACAACCCATAAATGCATGAAGCCACCTTATTCGGGCTGGGTCCCCCCAAAAACTAGTTTAGCACCCTCGCTGTGGTGCTGATTCTGCAAGGCTGTGGAACTTGATGGGCATTTTTTTGTCTCTCCCCATGCTTCCATGTCGCAGTTGCCCTGCTTACCTTGGCTATCTTGATGATTTGAACGTCTTCCTCAGGAGTACTTTTGTCAAATGCACCCAGCACCACCAAGTGGCTTGTCCTGGCACGGAAGTGGAAAATTAGGGGGTGAAAGATTCATTAATTAAGAATCCCCTATGCAGCTGGATAACATGAAGGAAGCAGGAACTAGGCCAGTGTTTCTCAACCTTGGCGACTTTAAGTCCTGTGGACTTCAACTCCCAGACTCCCCCAGCCAGCATAGCTGGCTGGGGGATTCTGGGAGTTGAAGTCCACAGGACTTAAAGTCGCCAAGGTTGAGAAACACTGAACTAGGCAGATCTCATCTGGAATAAATACCAAACAATCATCAAATGCCGTGTTTTTCAACCTTGGCAACTTTAAGATGGGTGGACCAACTCCCATTCTGCAAGTAGAACTCCACACGTCTTAAAGTTGCCAAGGTTGAAAAACACTGGTCTAAAGACACCGCTCTGAAGCTACTTATATCCCTGGTCCAGTTTTTGATAAAGTGAAAATTAAGCCACATGCCAGCTTCCCACTTCCCTGTGTTGACCCCAAAGCCTAGAAAGGACCTAGTTCTTCAAAAATTGGAACCCCCAAACCTCTCTGGTTAGATCTTCCATGAGTTCCATTCTTACCTGACACTGCAGTGGGCAGCAGTGACCACCCAATTCTCATTGATCAGGGACCCTCCACAGAAATGGAAGCCAGTGTTGTCCTGCAGGATGGAGGAGATCGAGTGGATCATGAGAAAAAGGTCCTGAGATGCTCAGCTTCTCAGCTCACCAGCCCTCTGGGCAGCAGACTCAAGGTTTATCTACCCCACGGATCCTCCCCACGTTTGCCACCTGTCTTGATGACCACAGTTGATATAGAGTTCTCTTCTCCATCATTTTAGATCAATGATCCTCAACCTTAGCAACTTTAAGATGGGTGGACTTCAGCTCCCAGAATTCCCCAACCAGCAAGGCTGGGGAATTCTGGGAGTTGAAGTCCAGCCATCTTGAAGTTGCCAAGGTTGAGACGTTTTGTTTTAGGTCATTGCATCTGCTGCATCTTATCCCAGCAGAAGTTCTCACTTGGCACCAAAAGGTACCGTATTTTTCAAAGTACAAGACGTGCCTTTTTCCCTCAAAAAAAAGGGTGAAAATCTGGGTGTGTCTTATACACTGAATACAGCATTTTTGGCCTATGGAAACCCAACCCCCTTTGCAAAAATGGGCATGCAGAGGGCTTGGGAGACTTGCAAAGTGTTCCTGAGGGCTGGGGAGAGCCGTTTTTGCTGGTTTCTGCCCCTCCAGCCCCCGGGAACACTCTACAAGCCTCCCAAAGCTCTGCATGCCCATTTTTTTTTTTGCAAAAAAACGAGGCATGCAGAGGGTTTGAGAGACCTGCAGAGTGCAAAAACTTTTTTTAAAAAAATTACCTCTTCAAAATCATGGTGCGTCTTCTACTTGGTGTGGCTTATAGTCCAAAAAATACAGTACATCATTTTCTGACTCTCCACCCAATAGCAATAGCACTTACTTATATACCACTTCACAGTGCTTTCTAGCCCTCTCTAAGTGGTTTACAGAGTCAGCCTATTTGCCCCCCAACAATCTGGGTCCCCATTTTACCACCTTCGGATAAATGGAAGACTGAGTCCACCTTGAGCCAATCAGGATCGAACTGCTGGCAGTGGGCAGAGTCAGCGTGCAATACTGCATTCTAATTACTTCACACCATGAATAAATGGGTGGGTGGGTGGATGGATGGATGGCAATATTAATAGCATTAGACTTATATACCGTTTCACAGTGCTTTCCAGCCCTCTCTAAGCAGTTGACAGAGTCAGCCTCTTGCCCCCAAACAATCTGGGTCCTCATTTTACCCACCTTGGAAGGACGGAAGGCTGAGCCAATCTAGAACCTGGTGGGACCCGAACTGCCAAACTGCTGGCAGTCAGCAGAAGTAGCCTGCAGGACTGTGCTCTAACCACTGTGCCACCACTAACTCATTTGGTCTTCCAAATTTCCAGGCAAAGCAAAGCAGGTGCGGCATTCTTACCTGCAGGGAGACCTGCCAAGGCCATGAGCCGGGCAGGGCATCTTCCCCATTGACTATCCGGGCATAGCCACTGATTGAAGGGGTGATTGCGGGGACACCACAACCTGGCAATGAATCAAAACGTTAATCCCAACTGTGGGAACCTTCAATCGGTTTTCACCAGAACTGTGCCAATATGATGTATCCGATAACATTATTCTTTAAGGAATCTACTGGCCTCTGAGATATTTTTTAAAGTTTATTATTATTATTATTATTTTTACCAACATATTAATGCATGAACAATGTGGCAGCTGGGTGTCATGCATTCTAATACAAATAAAACTAATACAATTAATCATAATTATTACATTCAACATTTATTTCTAATAGCAATACATATTTATATTAAGTTGCAATCTGTCATTATTCAATTATTCCATGTTTTCTCTTGTTATTGCTCTTATTTTATTATTTAAAAAAGTATATATTAAAATGCCCCCTTTCTTTTATTTCTATCTCTTATTCTAACTTTTAATCATGTCACCCTTTATTAAAAGATGTTTTCTTTCCATCCTATCTAACTTCTAGTCATGCCACCTACCTAAAAAAGGGAAGGAGAGAGAGAGAGAAACAGAAAAGCAAATCAGAACAATAACCATTACAAGAAATCATCTATCCATCGCCTCTTCCTCGCTTCAATACTTTAATTGCTATGCTTTTTTTCACTAGCCTCCCATATTCCTCTGTTGGATCTCTTGGCCTTGGAGTTTTGTTTGCTATGGGATTATTACTTGGAACTCTGACACTCTTATTGCCCACAATTTACTTTCCACAGTGGAGGCTGGTTGTGTAGTGAACACAGCACTTGTAAACAAGAACAAATCCAGTGGGGTCTTCCATATCCAGGAAGCCTCCAGGTCAGGAGTTACAAAAAGCAAATATGATAGAAATTTAAACCAGGCTCTTGTGCCTGGATAATGCAGGTGGCATCTCGAGTTAATGGTAATAGCTGAAAGGGACATAACTGATGGAGACCAGTTGCCAACCTCTGGGTTTTAGTTGACTGGTGTTTAGTTTTGCAGCGATGTGGGGGCTCAATGGTTAAGATGCTGCTGAGTCTTGCACCGTTAAAGGTCTATAGTTCAGCAGTTCAAGACCCGAGGGCCACAAGATGGAGCGAGCTCCCATCAAGTGTCCCAGCTCCTGCCAACGTAGCAGTTCAAAAGCATGTAAATGCAAGTTGATGAATAGGTAGTCCTCAACATATGTCCCTGCATACAGGTAGTCCTCAACTTACGACCCAAATTGAGCCCAAAATGTATGTTGTTAAGTGAGCTTTGCCCCATTTTACGATCTTTCTTGCCATAGTTGTTAAGTGAACCACTGCAGTTGCTAACTTAGAAGCATGGTGGTTAAGTGAACCTGGTTTCCCCATTGACTTTTGCTTGTCAGAAGGTCGCAAAAGGGGATCCCTTGTCCCAGAGGACAGGGCAACTGTCATAATGTGAGTCAGCGGTCAAGCATCTGAATATAAATCCTGTGAACTCTGGGGATGCTGCAAGTGTTAAAAACGGTCATAAAGGACTTTTTTCCAGTGCCGTTGTAACTTTGAATGGCCACTAAACAAAGTGTTGTAAATCGAGAACTAAAACCCCCAGGGACACCTTTACCTTCGTGTTTAGTTTGGTTGACGGCCATGAATTCAGAGTCCTTTTCAGAGATGTCAAAGGGAGCTTCCAGCCTCTTGCCTCCCCTTGGGGACCCAACTCTTACCGCGTAGAGAAACGTAGGTTGAGTCTCCTTCTCCCCCCCCCCCCCCCCAAGGGCAAAAGCAAGCTTAGTTTACTCACCACTGGCGGCACCCAGAAGAGCCAGGCAGGAGAGCAGCCAAACAAGAGCCATCTTGCTTTTTGAAGGAGTGAGGAAGAAGGTTCAAAGAGCTGGGCATCCTTATATTGGGAGCAGGGGTGGGCATGTGGCAGGGAAGAAGGCGTGTTCAGGCTGGTTTCCCAGCATTTTATCGCTTGAAGACCTTGAAGATAAGCTCAGCTCCTGCAGGTCAGGCCAGGTGGGGGGGATGGGCAAGGGCCCAGCTGACCTGGCAAGGAGACGGCCATAAGGGGGTGGCTATCTGTGAGGCAGAAGGCTTTTGCTGGAGGCCTTACCCTTGTAACCCATTGACCTGTGTTCGAATGGAACTCAGAACAGATCAGATTAAAAGAGTTGGAAGGGACCTTGTAGGTCCTCTAGTCCAACCCTCAGCCCAAGCAGGAGACCCTGTACCATTTCTGACAGATGACAGGCCAGTCTCTTCTTGAAAGCCTCCAGTCTTGAAGCTCCCACAACCTCTGAAGCCAACTTCTGTTCCATTGGCTGATTGTTCTCCCTGTCAGAAAGTTCTTCCTTATTTCCAGGTTGAATCTCTCCTTCTGGTCATGACTTCCAGCCGCCTTATTTTGGGGATGCAGGGTTGATGCCTTGGGAATCCTTGCTCAATTAAAATGGGCTTCTCAGTGTACCAATAATTTTGCTTCCTACAAAAACTTGCAAAGGGAGAGAATGAAACCATTCACTTCTTGGGGACAACCACGAGAGTTGGGCTGGATACGTGTCTCTTTAAGAAGCAACTTCTCTATAAAAATGGGAGACTTCTTTCTCTGCTTTCATCTGCGTGGAGAACATGAGATTGCAGTTGGCCAAGGCAACAAGAGAGCCCTTTGCTTTCCAACTCCCTTCAGATTTCATTGCCCCAAATAGCCTGAAATGTGTAGCGCAGTCGCATCTTCTTAGAAGCCACTTCCCAATTAGCTGAGTCCCCTGGCAATTTTCAGCCCCATTGAGGGAATCTGCCTGAGCTCAGATACTAAGCAGGGTTAGACTTGGTGGTGGCCTCCGAGGTTCGTGGCTTGGGAGGCTGCCATCACATCCAAGAGACACAGCCTAGGCTGTGAAGCCAACAAAACAGCTTGGAAGAAGCTAAAGGAAGCCATATTCATGTTTTCCCCTTCCATGAAGATCTTGGGAAAATACAGCTTGTCTGCCTGGAATCCACACGGTATATAAGACATTAATACAATTGAGTGGGTCCAGAAGTATTTCACGGGAAGAGTCCTCCACTCCTCTGCTCACAATAGAATCCCTTGTGCCACCAGGCTTGAAATTTTGGGCTTGGACAACCTGAAACTACTCCACCTATGGTTGGACCTAAGGATAGTACACAAAATTGTCTGCTACAATGTCCTACCTGTCAAGGACTTCTTCAGCTTCAACCTCAATAATAAAAGGGCAAACAATAGATACAAGGTAAACCGCTCCAAACTTGATTGTAGAAAATATGACTTCAGCCACAGAGTGGTCAATGCCTGGAATGCTCTACCAACTCCATTGTTACGTCCTCTAACCCCCACAACTTCAACCTTAAACTGTCTACTGTGGATCTCACCCCATTCCTAAGAGGTCCATAAAGGGGGTGTGCATAAGCTCACCTGCGTGCCTACTGTCCCTCTCCTAACGGTAAAGATAAAGGTTCCCCTCGCACATATGTGCTAGTCGTTCCTGACTCTAGGGGGCGGTGCTCATCTCTGTTTCAAAGCCGAAGAGCCAGCGCTGTCCAAAGACGTCTTCGTGGTCATGTGGCTGGCATGACTAAACGCGAAAGGCGCATGGAACCCTATTACCTTCCCACCAAAGGTGGTTCCTATTTTTCTACTTGCGTTTTTACCTGCTTTCGAACTGCTAGGTTGGCAGAAGCTGGGACAAGTAACGGGAGCTCACCCCATTAGGCAGCGCTGAGGATTCGAACCACTGAACTGCTGACTTTTCTGATTGACAAGCTCAGCGTTTTAGCCACTGAGCCACCCCAGCCCTTGTCCCTATCCTACAATTCTCATTTATTTCTTTCGTTTCTTTCGTTCATGTCCATTTATACCTGCTATCTTGTACATGTTTGACAAACTAATAAAATAAATACATAAATTCAGGGCTGACTTCGCTTTTGAAGTTTCTTGCAGGTTGCTCTCTGGCTCTCTTGGACTTGAACATTCTTGATCCCTGAGAGCAAAGTTAGAATTCCCCATGGATAACGTTTTATGATTCAACAAAAAGATGGTCATCAGCTCTACAATTGGTCTATCCTTTTGGAAACTGTGCTGAATTGCACAGTGTGAGACTTATTTAATTCTCGTCATTAAGAAAGCCTAAATTTTTAATATGACCCATTTAATAAGTTTGAGATGCCCCAATTTGCAACTTATCCAGTTGTTTCCATCCAGCCAAAATCCTCTCCATGGGAGAAGAAGATGATGTGTGTGGGCGTGCAAGTGCAAGAGATCAGGAGCCAAGACTGATGGGAACTTCCCAGGAAAGGAGCTGGGAATGTTGAAACGGGGGTAAGAAAAATCATTCGGAACAGGCCCAATCCTATATTTTTACATAATCCATGGACTCCTTAATAACAGCAAGGGATCCTCGTGGGGTGGGGGGGGGAGAGAAAAATGCTACTTGGGGCTTGCCAAAATAAGGTTGGCTTAGTTAACGACTGGGAAGAACTCTGAATGCAAGAGCTTCAGCCCCAAGTGAGATTGGTAGCATTCACACAACGGGTCCTTCCGTGTTTAACCTAATCTTGGTTATTGAATCAATTATTTGTTTTGGTTTGTGCAACATACATTGAAGAGGAAGGGAGGGAGAGAGGGAGGGAGGAGGAAGGGAAATAAGGAAGGGAGAGAGGAGGACAGAGGGAGGGAGGAAGGGAAGGAAGGAAGGGGAAGAGGGAGGGAGGAAAGAGAGAGAGAAGGAAGGAAGCAAATGTAGGAGGCTAGAGGAGGGCGGGAGGGAGGGAGGGAGGAAGGAANTGAGGACCCAGACTGTGGGGGCGATATGCTGACACTCTAAACCGCTTAGAGAGGGCTGAAAGCCCTATGAAGCGGTATATAAGTCTAACTGCTATTGCTATTGCTATTGTCTTCCCTGGTCCTTCCCTTCCCTAGACTAGCCATGCCCAGTTCCTGCAACCGTTCATCGTATGTTTTAGCCTCCAGACCCCTCATCATCCTGGTTGCTCTTCTTTGCACTCTCTCTAGAATCTCAACATCTTTTTTATAGATGCCATATTCCAAGTGTGGTCTTATAATTATCTCATAATATAATTACCAGTATATATTATCCTATATAATATATAATTATATTGTAAGGCCTAACTTGATTCTATTATCTGCATTTTTTAACTGCACCCACACGTTTTACGAAATGCCTCATCCAAGGGGAGCTGCACTTGTTTAATAGCCACCACATACTGGTTGATAGTGGCCTCCCAAGAACCCGTTCAAGAATCCTGCCGCAACTCTGAGACACTCTACGGGATGCCGGGGGGGGGGGAGGGAAAGAACGATGCAAAGTCTCTGCTGCTGCTGCTTTTATTGATGTTCCATTACTGAGGAGTGTTAGTTATTAGCAAGGGTGGATTCAATGAAGGGCAGAAGTTCCGTAACGCGGGCATAGACCCCTGGGCTGGAGGGAGAGCAGGTGGCGCTGCCCCAGGAGACGATTCCAACCAGAGTCCAGGCCCCATTCTTCTGGCAGACCAGAGGACCACCAGAATCGCCCTGCAGGAGAAACCAAGAGAAGAATGTCAGTGGCTGCTTGAATGTTGGGTTGGATGGGACTTTGGAGGAGGTCACAAGGGGCCGATCTTCAAGGATGGAGGGATTGGCCTTGATCAGGTCTTTGCTTCACCAAATCACAGCAGACTGGCCAGGGGACGCCAACTCTGGGGACAAACTAGGACCAGAAAAGACCTGGAGACCTTTATTATACAAGTTTCATTGACTCTCTGAAGATGGTGAGAACTTAATGAAAACTTAATAATAACAGAGATGAAGGAGACCTTGTAGGCTATCTAGTCCAACACCTCCCCGCCACCCAAGCAGGAAACTCTATACCACTTCTGACAGATGGCAATCCAGTTTCTTCTTGAATGCTTCCAGTGATGAAGCTCCCACAATTTCTGAAGGCAACTTCTGTTCCATGGGTTCATCGCTCTCCCTGTCAGAAAATTTCTCCATATTTCTAGGTTAAATCTCTCCTTGATCAGGTTCCATCCATTATTCCTTGTCTGGTCTTCAGGTGCTTTGGAAAACAGGTTGACCCCTTCCTCTCTGTGGCAGCCCCTCAAATATTGGAAGGCTGCTATCATGTCTCCCCTGGTCCTTCTCAGCCAGGCCCAGTTCTTGCAACTGTTCATCGTATGTTTTAGCCTTCAGTCCCCTAATCATCCTGGTTGCTCTTCTCTGCACTCTTTCTAGCGCCTCAACATCTTTTTTATAGTGTGGTGACCAAAACTGGATGCAGTATTCTAGGTGTGGCCTTACTAGGGCTTTATAGAGTGGTGTTAGTACCTCCCTTGATCTTGATTGTATCCCTCTGTTAATGCAGCTTAGGATTGCATTGGCTTTTTTGGCTGCCGCCGCACACTGCTAGCTCATATTTAGCTGGTTGTCCACTAAGCCTCCAAGATCCCCCTCACAGTCACTGCTATTAAGCTGGTTTCTCCTATTCTATATGTGTCCTTTTGGGGTTTTTTGCCTAAGTGTAAGACTTCACTTTTCTCTACACTGAATTTCATTTTGTTACATAGGGCCCAGCGTTCAAGTCTATCAAGATCCATTTGGATCTTGATCCTATCTCCCAGCGATGTAACAATGCTTGTCTAGAGGTTCACCAAGTGGGAAACATGAAGTGAGCAAGACAGAACTAAGGAAATGTGAAGTATCTATGTGGAGCAAAGATGGTTTCGTAACTTAAGCCCTGCTCCAGAGGGCGGAGAGCAGGCATTCTGGGAAGATGCACAACCGCTGCCAGAAATTACAGACTGGGGACGACCAGGAAAAAAACATACCATGCACGAAGATGCCCCTGCAGCTCCAGCACAGACCATGACGTCAACAATACGGTTGCCAAAAAATCTCTTGCACTCCTGATTGGTCAGCAGAGGAAGTGCCACCTGTTGCAATTTGTCGGGCGAGAACTTGTCTGAAATAGAGGAAACACACAAAAATGAGACAAGACGCATGGGGCAAAAATGAGAAACGACACCCTCATATTTGTGTCATCACTGGCTCTTGGCTCGGGGGCAAATCCATGCACAACTTCTCAGTTTTAAAACCCTTGAAGTAAGACCTTCCTGTGTTCCAGTCTTGGTGGCTTCGTAGCAGCCTCCGAAACGGAGTTTGCTAGCTTCTAGCTTTCTTCCATTAATGGGGGTGGGGGGTGGGGGATCAAGTGTTTGGAAGTTTCATAGAAACAGCAGCATTTACTTTAAAAAAAAAGACTGAAGTTGGAGGTTGGGCCTTTAAAAAGCTTGCTTTGGGATAATTAAAGAATAAACAAAGTACCAGGAAAGTATAATAAAGGGAATATATACCAGTATTTAGTGACTTTAGTGATTTTAATGACCGAACAGAGACTTCATTTCCTTAGAGTCCTGTGAAAAAATCAGGTGGAACAACGGCTGATGACCCCTTTCTATCGGTCCACCATAGAAAGTGTCCTCACATATAGCGTTACAGTATGGTATGCTGGTTTAACAGCTGCGGACAAGAAGGCACTACAGAGAGTGATCAATTCGGCACAAGAAACCATTGGTTGCCCTCTAACACCACTGGATGACATCGCCAGGCCTTGCTGCTTTAGCAGAGTAAGGAAGATAACTCAGAGAGGATTCACACCCCGGTCAGTGCCTCTTTGCACTTCAACCATCG